GCGGCTCCGCCAGCGCAGCACGAAAAGAGGCGACAGTATGTGGCAAGACGACGGCCCCCAACCCCCACCAGAAAACCAAGCCGAGAGTAAACCAAGCTAACAAGAGTAACCACCTAAGAAGGGACAGGAAAAGGAAGGACCGCCAAAATACCCCATACTGCCGCCAAGAGAAGTACGCAGGTGGGACACCTACCACGAAGCCACCCAACCACCAACCGGAGGCGAGACCGCGAGGCAGAACATAAGCAGCCCCGACAAGGCCCCTCCGAGCCGAGGAAAAGGCGGAGCTGCAGGAAGAGCTCGGGCGTGACCACTGAAACCCAGGAGGCACAAGGAGGTGGAACGTCTGCCGAACAGAAAAACTCCCCAAAGAAAGCAAGCCCGCCAGGAGTTCAGAAATGACGGGTCCGACGCGAGACATCGCAAGACCCCGAAAAGACAACCGACAGGGTAAGCTAGGAAACCGAAGAAGGCGGAAGGGTTACCACCAGAAACAGTACCCGAACCAAGGGGTACGACCAACCGCAACAGACCAAGACAAAGAAGCACAACACAGGACACAGGCTGAAAGAATGCCCAAGAGGCCAAGGAACGCACGCAGAACACCCCTACGGCAGAGGAGGAAAACAAGGGAACGCACAAGGAAATGAAGCGGTGGAAACCGACCTCCCCCCCTCAACATAGCAGCAAGTGCAGGCTAAACCGACCAAAGGAGATGCCAGGAAAACAACTGGGGAGAGGCAGGATGAAAGAGCTCAAGCACAAACTCCAGTAAACAACCAGGTGAACAATCAGGCGGGGACAGAAAACCCCCACGCACATGAGAGGGTCAAGCCAGGGACCCGAAGACCACGAAAAACAACAAGCAAACCCCCCATACGCAAACCCTAGGCACAAAACAACAGCAAAGTGCCACACCACAACCGGACACAGGAACAAGGACACGCCACCGCGAAACACGTTACCAATGCACACGTGCAGCAGCAGCAACAGGCACCACTGCAACATATAAATAGCAATTCGCATTTGCAAAGGCAGAGAACGGAGCAGGCAGACCCCAGACAGGGCCAATGGAGACACGACAGAACCCAGCAGGCCCAGGAACCTGCACACCAGGCGACTGACGGCGAGGAACCCCGCTTGATACCTGCTGGATGGGGTACTGGGAGCTCATTTACACCCCAGGTCCGGCCCGAGGCTAGGCTAGACCGGCCAGAGGGTGGCCCACCAGGCAGCTGCTTGAAGCAGCCCGCAGGCCCACATACCCCCCCACAACCAGGATGGGCCGGAATTTCTATTCGAAAACAGGCTAGTGGGCCCTGGAAGTCCATGGAAGTACCGGCAATATGGCGTATGCTCGCAAGAAGGTCGTGTAACAACCGCAGACCTCAGATGGTTATACAGTGTTCCCTGATTGTGCCTATAGCACCACTGCACTCCATTGGTACTATCCCGCAAGTTCTTCCAGATAGGCGGGACCCAAGAGCCAGAGCTCAACCCCGTAAGCACAACCAGGAGAGCCCTACCAGGTGAGTACATAACCAGCACCACAACCCACACACCTCATAAAGGTGGGTCCCCTGAATGACTCTAGCATGGGTTGGACATGCACATGAGTGGGACTGGAAGGGTTGAAAAAAGGACAGTCACTGGTGTGCGAACGGTCTCAGTCGTACAGAAATATACCTAAATAAAGACAGGTAAATAAAGATCTCCGCATCCAGCGCCCGGCCAAAAGACGCCAGAGTGCAGAAACTCGCCTGGCGAACGGTGGCACAAACTTGACACGACCCAACAGTGCCCAGAAGATCCTGGGAGCACCGCCAGGTGAAGAAGCCAGAGCCGGACCCGCAGGGGAGAGGCGAAGGAGGCTGCCCACACCCATCACACAAGGAAAACCTCTGCGTCCTCCCCACAGCAGGAAACCAGGACACCCCCGGGGCGAAGGGGCACATACCGCAGCAAGGGAGAAGAGCGAGAGGCGAAGCACCTGAGAAAAAAGGGAGCAAAACACCAGCACTGAAACATACCGCCCAGACCAAAACAAACTCCACAGCGCATGCGCATGACACGCTGGCCGAACCTCACAACCCGCTCTGTGGGAAGGCGCCAACCAGGACTACTGCACTAGGAAAGTAGCCAAAAGAGGAAGCAGCAACAACAAAACCGGCCAACGAAGCGATGACAGAGCCCAAAAGGGCTCTGAACCCAACTGTGCCACAAGTAGCCCAATCGGGCTACATGTAGCCCAACCGGCCCACAAGTAGCCCAACAGGGCCACAAGTAGCCCAACCGGACCACAAGTAGCCCAACCGGACCACTGGCCACACGCAGCGCAACCAGGCTACAAGTAGCCCAAAACAGCGACCCGGACGAGGAGCCGACAGACGTTCCAATAATGCGGGAAGTAGCGAAAACTTTCCCGAACCCTCGAGAACACAGAAGCCAACACTAGTCCCGAAGGCACACAAAGGCGCAGGCGCACCCAAGACCAGAAGTCACGTAGAACCCCAAGAACGGGGAAACATGACGAAGACACCGTCCCAAAAGAGGGGGAAAGAAGCGCATCCACCCACAGGACGGAACCAACCGACTCAAAGGCCAAGGAACCGAGCCCGGGGAGGGGCCGACGCCCAACAACACGTACAGCGAGTGGGGAGGAAAGACCCCACTCCGCGTATCCACAAGCCCCGCCTAGAGGGGGAGAAAAAAAACACCACAGGGTCCTACGGGGCCAAGCCCCCCAAGTCAGCCCCTCCCCAGCCCCGGGAACCTACACGACAGGCCCCGGGGCCGAGCCGTCCCCCCATAGCCCCGGCCGTACCAGAAAACCGGGGCAGCCGCAAAAACACTAAGGAAGGGAGCCCACTGGCAGACTCTTACAACATGGCTGGAGGAACAGGCTCAAATGCCCCCGTCACTACCCCAGAAGGGGGAATTCCCCGAGACTGCCCGAGTTTCAACACCATCAAACCCTGCCATGATCCTACAGACGGTAAGGAACCGGATGCAGGCAGGAAGGGGGATCCAGGGGGAAAGACAAGGGGGCGTGGAAGGAACCGAAGCAACCAACACCCCCTAGTCCCAACACGAACCAAAACGGGGCACCCCCGGGGCTCCCGGGGAGTAAACAACGGTAGCGTTGCCACCACCAAGGCTCAAAGTGCAATGCCCCTGCTGACCGCACCTGCTTAGTCAGCACAACTGGGTAACCGAGCCACAACGAGCAACAAAACTCGCAGGACTCCGGGTCGAAGGTGTCACCGACCCCACAGGCAGCAGACGGAGGCAAAACAGAGAGTCACCCAGAGACAAGGGGTGAGAGCAACCCTCAAACTCGCTGGAAGCAAGGGGGGACTCTGGGGTCACATCCATCGGACCCGCACGCCCCCAGGGATTTCGCAGGGTCCCGAGTGTTTACTATAAGAGGACTCGCGCTCAGGTAATCCCAGGCAGGGTACTGCTAACCGGCGCCCAAAGATACCAAACAACTTTCTAAGAGCTGGACCCCCAGAACGTGTACACTCACGGGGACCTAGCAGGGGGTACCACCAGAAAATACTCAGAACACAAGGGACACAAGGGAAAAGAACGAAGGCAGACCCCCCACCAGGTAGATAAACAAAAAGAAAAAGAAAACCCCGCAAGAGGACAGCATACCCAAGCGGAACAGAGCCGACCGCCATGATTGGTAAAGACAAGCTGCACAGTACCCCGCGCCCCACCAGTGCGAACACTGCCCCTTACCCTAAGGCGAACAAGGAAGACAGAACACTCGAGCACACACAGAGCGGCCGAAAACCAAGCAGTAAACGGCCAAGCAGGGGCAGGACCCAAGGAACTTGTGGAAGGTGGCCCCAAGCCCCAAGGGCAGTACTTACAGGGCACCTAGGGAAGGGAACCCTAGGCGCATGCAGCCCGAGTACTGGAGACTCACTCCCGGCTCACACGCCACCTAGAAGACAGACATCACACTCTAGGTACAGTGCTGAAACAACTACTGGAGCCGGAGCACATAACCGGTGCCTATAGCATCAGCCGAAGAACTGATGGGTGGATAGCCGGCGTGGGAGGTCTGGGGCTCCCCCTTCCCCCTCCCGGGGAGGGGGGAGCTGCGCAGACAGCGGCGCAGTGACGTGTGACGTCATACTAATTTGCTTGTTTTCTGTTGGGGAGTTCTATCCACTAGTTCGGCTTTAGGTAGCAATTTTAACCAGAATAGGGGTTTGTTTTGGAATGCTTACCTTTCTGGATGCTTGACCCGGTCGATGGCAGACATAGAATGCTTCCAACCACACGGGGGTTTCTATAGGCCATTGCTCCCCTTGCCTCTCTGAGGGGGCCAGGTTCTGGTCGTGGTCCCTGGTAGGCCCTAGAACTCCATACACATGACTGATGCCAAAGTCTGACATTAGCATATCAGCCTGGTAAAGCTCCGGGGAGCCGAATGGCCTTCCCCCAGAAAAGTTTTTATTATATATCATGCCATGGGTTCCAAGAAAGTCAGTGGTAAAGTTCAGCCTAAGAAAATAGTTGTGAGGATGACGATAGCGGAAAAACAAGAGATCATTCATAGTGAGACAATGAAAACGTCTCACTACAGACATGTTTTAAAACATAGGGATAAACAAGTGTCTATAGACAGAGTCTTAGTCAGACAAGTAAGCAGTGAACTACAACCAGGTCCTAGTGGTATGCCTGCAAAATGTAGGCGAGAGTGTACCCCAGAAATGTCATCACTGCCTGATGTTATAATGGAAGGGGACTTCCCTTCCGAACACTATCACCTCTCCCCCCCCCCCTCCTCACCGTCTTCCATACGCCAACAAGAGCCCTTCATAAAGGTAAGGTAGTATGAGTAGTTTTCTGTATAAAATGTATTTTTTAATGGGAAAATTAGTTTCGGTTTTCGTATTTTTGAACCGTCTCTGGGAACGGTTTAAATTAAAAAATGGAGATACCACTGTATAGACATCCAGATACAAATGACCGAAACAAACCTGTCTTAGCCGCTTCTGATCCTCTAGCGATGTCTCAGACTGTCGGATATGGTCCATCAACTTTTCTACCCTTTTCTGAGCCTCTTCCAACTCGTGGCCCTTTTGCCGAAGTCGGTTCTCTATCTCAGCAGTGCGGCGCTGGGCATTATCAAGGCGATCCTGATCAGACTTCTGCTCACGATTAATAGAGTCCAATTCTTGCAGGTACTGGGCAGACTTCCTGGCTGCAGCATTTTTCAACTTGTGATACTCTTTGACTTGTACTTCTTCTAACTGGACACTTTTACCTGCAACAAATTAGCAAGAAAAGAAACAATATTAGCACAGATTTCGCAAAGCCTTTGACAAATGTGACCATGGTGTTATTGCACATAAAATGGGTTCAAAAGGAATTATTGGAAAAATAGGCAGAAGGATCTACAATTTCCTAACAGAACCCAATGTGTAATAGTCAACAAAATAGAATCCCAGATGCTCTCGGACGTAGGTTCGAACCCTCGTCACGGGCCCTTGTGGATTCGCTCATTTGATGCATCACGCTATTGTGATTTCTATGTGTAACTATGAATACCACTTTTTCTAAATTTCCCTAACCCCTGCTTGCCTTAAGCTCTTTCGAATCTGCACTTGTTCCAGGGGTTTTCTTTACAACGTTTCCGTGCAATATCTTTGCTTTCTCACAAATGATGGCCTCTGAAATGCTATTACCTGCTAACTCCTTGTTGTGTATCCAAATTAATAACTTTTCAACATCCTCAAGAGTTTGTGTTCTTTGTTTCATGGTTGTTGATACATCTTTTTTACACTTCAGCACTCAAAATGCTTTTTCTGTGAGGAGGCCCTAAGGCTCCCTGGAGCTTATCGGGCGAATGTATGTTATATTAGACCGGGACATTAGCTAAGGAGTTCAGACCTACCAGGGACAAGTGCCAGAACCTGGCCCCTTCAGAGAGGCTTTAGGGAGCAATGGCCCTGGAAACCCCCTGCTTGATACCTGCTTGGTGGGGTTCTGGGAGTTCTACTCCCCAAGCCCGGGCCGAGGCCAGGCTCGACTTGTGAGAGTTTGGGCCACCAGGCTGTTGCTTGGAGCGGTCCGCAGGCCCACATACCCACCACAGCCCGGCTGATCCGGAATTTCTCTTAGAAAACCGTCCAGTTTTCTCTTGAAGATGTCCACGGTTGTTCCGGCAATATTTCTTATAGTCGCTGGGAGGACGTTGAACAACTGCGAACCTCTGATGTTTATACAGTGTTCTCTGATTGTGCCTATGGCACCTCTGCTCTTCACTGGTTCAATCTTGCATTTTCTTCCATATCGTTCACTCCAGTACGCTGCTATTTTACTGTGTAGATTTGGGACCTGGCCCTCCAGTATTTTCCATGTGTATATTATTTGGTATCTCTCTCGTCTCGTTTCTAGAGAGTACATTTGGAGAGCTTTGAGACGATCCCAATAATTTAGGTGTTTTATCTCGTCTATGCGTGCAGTATATGTTCTCTGTATTCCCTCTATTTCAGTAATCAGCAATCTCTCCTGCTCTGAAGGGGAAAGTGAGTACTGAGCAGTACTCGAGACGGGACAGTACAAGTGACTTGAAGAGTACAACCATTGTGATGGGATCCCTGGATCTGAAAGTTCTTATAATCTATCCTATCATTTTTCTGGCTGACACAATATTTGCTTGGTTATGCTCCCTAAATGTTAGATCGTCGGACATCATTATTCCCAAATCCTTGGCATGCTGTTTTTCTAATATATAATTACCTAAGTGTAGTTACAGGATGAGAGCTACGCTCGTGGCGTCCCGTCTTCCCAGCACTCTTTGTCATATAACGCTTTGAAACTACGGACGTTCTTGGCCTCCACCACCTTCTCACCTAACTTGTTCCAACCGTCTACCACTCTGTTTGTGAAAGTGAATTTTCTTATATTTCTTTCGGCATCTGTGTTTAGCTAGTTTAAATCTATGACCTCTTGTTCTTAAAGTTCCAGGTCTCAGGAAGTTTTCCCTATCGATTTTATCAATTCCTGTTACTATTTCGTATGTAGTGATCATATCGCCTCTTTTTCTTCTGTCTTCTAGTTTTGGCATATTTAATGCCTCTAACCTCTCCTCGTAGCTCTTGCCCTTCAGTTCTGGGAGCCACTTAGTAGTGTGTCTTTGCACCTTTTCCAGTTTGTTGATATGCTTCTTAAGATATGGGCACCACACAACCGCTGCATATTCTAGCTTTGGCCTAACAAAAGTCGTGAACAATTTCTTTAGTATATCGCCATCTATGTATTTAAAAGCAATTCTGAAGTTTGTGTGTGGACACATGTGTATGTGCATGCGCACGTGTGTGTATACACCTATATATACACACAGACCCCACACAACCTATATATTATGTGAGAAATCTTTAAAGAATTCTGACAAAGAAAGAGATCTAGGGGTGGTTCTAGATAGAAAACTATCACCTGAGGACCACATAAAGAATATTGTGCAAGGAGCCTATGCCACGCTTTCTAACTTCAGAATTGCTTTTAAATACATGGATGGCGATATACTAAAGAAATTGTTCACGATTTTTGTTAGGCCAAAGCTAGAATATGCAGCGGTTGTGTGGTGCCCATACCTTAAGAAGCACATCAACAAACTGGAAAAGGTGCAAAGACATGCTACTAAGTGGCTCCCAGAACTGAAGGGCAAGAGCTACGAGGAGAGGTTACCTTGAGGCTACCTTGAGGTGCTTCCGGGGCTTAGTGTCCCCGCGGCCCGGTCGTCGACCAGGCCTCCTGGTATTAGAGGCATTAAATATGCCAAAACTAGAAGACAGAAGAAAAAGAGGTGATATGATCACTACATACAAAATAGTAACAGGAATTGATAAAATCGATAGGGAAGATTTCCTGAGACCTGGAACTTTAAGAACAAGAGGTCATAGATATAAACTAGCTAAACACAGATGCTGAAGAAATAGAAGAAAATTCACTTTCGCAAACAGAGTGGTAGACGATTGGAACAAGTTAGGTGAGAAGGTGGTGGAGGCCAAGACCGTCAGTAGTTTCAAAGCGTTATATGACAAAGAGTGCTGGGAAGACGGGACACCACGAGCGTAGCTCTCATCCTGTAACTACACTTAGGTAATTACCTTGTGTGTGTGTGTGTATTTGTGTATGTGTATATATGTACATGTATGTGTACATAATATATATGGATATATGTGTATATATGTATGTATACTTTTTCTTTCAGAAGGGGCTCTGTTCCCTTCGCTGTTGACAGGGCGCTGGGGTAGCAGCTTGCTCTGTTGACTCTCGCATGGTCCGCAGTTAGTGGGTGCTTTTGGTTGTCTTTCGGCCTCTGGTGGAGGCGGCGGCGGACGGATTTTCCCCCTTTTTGGGGGTTCCAGGGCTGGCGGGGTGGGCGTCTTTCCCTGCGCTTCATCATGTCATCTTAGTGGGTGCGTTGGATGTGGTCGATCCGCCCCATCCTTCTGGGGTTCCCGTCTGCTCTATGCAGACAAGGGCCTGGCGAATCTGCGGCTTTTCTGGACTTCTTCAGTCTGCGCCCTGGATTCTATGCCCTCATCAGAGGACAGTTCTCTCCGGTCTAGCTTCTGTTGGGACCGGGTGCCCAGATGGTGGCCCTGGACCTCCGGGGTAAATTCTTGGCACGTTCTTCTCCAGTTTTCCGGGACTGGCACAGTTGGTGGTGGGCCTTCAGGCTTACTGCTTTTGTTGCCTTCCCTAGTTTGTAATTGGCACTTGGTGTATTTGCACATCTTTACCAGACCTTGGTGCCCTGTCTGAGTCTGCTTGGGATTCGGTGTCTAGCCTACCTCGACGACTGGCTGGTGTGGGCTCCCAGTCAGTCCGCTTATCTGCTCCCCAGGTGTGTGGTTCTTTCCAGATCGCCGGGTTTGGTTTCCTGGTGATCTGGAGGCTGTTCCATCTGTTTCCGCTCCGGGTTCGGACCTGGCTGGGTCTTGTTTAGGGCTCTTGGGCCACTCCTTGTCCTTCCATCTAGAAGTGTTGCTGCGGCTGTGGTCCCGCCTTTGGCTGTTTATGAGGGGGCCCCCGGGCTGCTCGGCGGTTGCTCGAGCGGTTGTGCAAGAGTCTGAACTTCGACGTGCTGGTCTGCCCGCAGGGTCGGGTTTGGCTTCGGTGTCTGTTTGGTTCCTTCGGAGACTCCCCTTCCACCTCTCTTGCAATCGTTGGGTTCGTTCCTCCGGGGATCTTGTGTTGGTGCTGCGTCACCAGCTTCCTCTTTGGGGTTTTTGGGGTTCCGTGCCTTGGCACCTCCCCTAGCCTTAGCTCGATGTGTTCACGGACGGGTCATCTCTCGGCTGGAGCTTTGTGACCAGTGCTCACCAGGTCGACTGGGGATGGTGGGGTCTGTAGGGCTCACAGCACGGTTTGGGAGTTCGTGGCTGTCTGGTTTGCGCTTCAGAGGGTTCAGGTCAGTCGGTGCTCTACCATTCAGCTTCATTCGGACTGTTCTCTGGCGGTTCTTTGCCGGAACCACAGGGTTTCTCTTAGGTGTTTGCCTTTGGGGTTGGTCCCTTCGAGTGGTTCGTTTGCTGGATTCTTGGGGTTTGGCTAACAATGAGGTTCATGTCCGGGGTGTGTCCTACATCGTGGCGGACAGCCTGTCTCGGTTCATTCCTCTGTTAGCGGATTGGCCAGTCGTCGCCGACTCATTTCATTGGCTCTGCCGGACGTATGGACTCCTGGCCATGGACGTCTTCGAGTCAGCGTGGTCTTGCCGTTGCCCATTCTATGTGGCACCCTTAACTGCCTGCGAGGCGTTCATGGTGGATGCCTTTCGGCAGGACTGGCCGAGGTGGGGGTACCTGTTCCTCTTCTCCCGGTCCAGCTGTTGCTTTGGGTTTTGGCTCGGTTGGAGCCCATTTCCAAGAGAGTAGTGCTCATGGTCCCTTGGTGGCCAGCCCAGCTTTATTTTCAGACGATGCTTGATAGGTGTCCGAACCCGGGGCGTTTTCCCGCGGCTCAGCCTCTTTCGGCAGGTCGGTCCGGTCCTGTATGTGACTGGTTCGGCCTTCTCCTCGGCTCTTCGCGTCTGGTATTTTGACACGGGTATCACCATCTCTGTGGTGATCAGGTGACTTTGTTGGCGGTGTTTCACCTGTATGATGTTCCTGGTGTTTCTATGCACCTTTTTCTTGCTCTTCGTAGGTTGTCGTCTCTTTCGCTTTGGGTTGTCTTGTCCTTTCTTGGGTTTTCAGGACTACAGTTATTTGATGTTTCTTACTGTCGCCTCGTTTTGTGCGGCGCTGGCGG